TCTCTCTATCTCCTGGATCTGAATGCCTGTTTCCTTCCCCAAGTTAGGGAAGTTCTCAGCTATGATTTTTTCAAATACACTTTCTGGTCTTCTGTCCCTTTCAGCATCCTCTGGAACCCCAATTAAACATAAGATTTTTTTCCTTCTGAGGCTGTCATTTATTTCCCTTAACCTTTCCTCATGATCTTTTAATTGCTTTTCTCTTTTTTCTTCAGCTTCCTTCCTTGCCATCAACTTGTCTTCTATGTCACTCACTCATTCTTCTACCTCATTAACTCTCGCTGTTAGGACCTCCAGTTTGGATTGCATCTCATTTAATTGATTTTTAATTTAGGCCTGATTACATAGAAATTCTGCAGTCATGAAGTCTCTTGAATCCTTTATGCTTTTTTCCAGAGCCACCGGTAGCTTTATAATTGTGCTTCCGAATTGGCTTTTCTGACATCGAATTGTAATTCAAATTCTGTAACTCTGTGGGAGAGAGTACTATTTCTGATTCTTTCTTTTGTAGTGAGTTCTTCTTTCTAATCATTTTGCTCAGTGCAGAGTGGCTAAAAACAAGTTGTACTAACATGTTAGAAGCACAAACTCTTCTCTCTGTAGCATTCCAGCTGTTCTCTCTTTAAATCTCAGGCTGAATATGTAGGTTTTCAGGATGACTTGAAAGTTGTCTAGGTAAGTTGGTGGGGAGAGTTGACTTGGGGACCCTACTCTTCCGCCATCTTGCCCCACCAACCTGTAGTCATTTTTTATTTTTAATTTTTTTTAATTCATTTATTTATGATAGTCACAGAGAGAGAGAGAGGGGCAGAGACACAGGCAGAGGGAGAAGCAGGCTCCATGCACCGGGAGCCCAATGTGGGATTTGATCCCGGGTCTCCAGGATCGCACCCTGGGCCAAAGGCAGGCGCCAAACCACTGCGCCACCCAGGGATCCCTGTAGTCATTTTTTAAAGATAAAATTAGATCCACCTTATACCAAAATATATTCATACCATATATACTATAACTCAAAGTACAGAGGTAATTAAAATATTAATACATTTGATTACAGAAAATTTTTTTAAACTTTTGCATGGCAAAAAAACGTGTAAGCAAAGACATACAACAAAGTGAGGGGAAAAGACAAAAAATCTGATAGAAGAAAGAGCAAAGACATGAATACACACAAAAAAAAACATAGATATAAAATGCATATATACATATACCTACATGTTAAGTACGTGGCCTTAGACACTTGAAAAGACAGTCGACTCCATTCATAATGCTCATATTGAAAACAAATGCAAATCAGAATTACTTTAAGATACCAGTTTTTATCTCTCAAATTGGAAAGCATGATAAACTTGACAACATACTCTTATGACATGGCTGGTGAGAAACCAGCACTGACCCACAATGGCTGGTGGGAATGCAGATGGCACAACTCTTGTGGAGGGAATTTGTTAGTATCTAACAAAACCAAGTATCTATTTACCTTTTGTCCCAGAGATTCCACTTCTGGGAATTTACCTTAAAAGGTATATCTTCAACTATACAAAAATATGTAGCTCAAGGTTATCCACTTCAGCGTTAATTTCAGTAATTGCACAGTACTGAAAACATGCCCAAACCTAGGAGTATGGTGAAATACATTATGGTATGGCCATGCATGGAGTACCACGCAGTTGTGAAGAAGAATGAAATGTTCTCTATGAACTGAGGTGAATGATTTCCAGGTTATATTTTAAATTGAAAAATGAAAGTGTAAGAGTTATTGTAATCTACCTTTTGCATTAGACACATGCCTGCTTATTTTTTGCAAAAAGAAACATAGTAGATACCAGAACTAATGAAATTTATTTCCTATAGAGAGGCCGATGGGGATGGCATGGAAATGATGAGGGAGGAACAGACCGAGAGATATGGCGGAAATGTAACTTACTGAATATGAGTTTCTAGGTATTTTGACTTTTGAACTGTTAACATTTTATATACTCAACAAGAATAATAAAAATCACCAGTTAATGGAGGAAAAAAAATACCTCAAATAAAATACAAACAGAAGTAGATGACTATAACTCTTATTTCAGACAAATAATACAACCACACTGAAGAGCAGAGAGAAAAACTAACTCATGTAAATTTAGAATATACTGTTTTACCATTTTATACAATATTAATGAAGGAATAAAAAGAACTCTAGAGAGTAAGTTTGGGGTTTTCTACAGTTTTGTTTGCATGGCAATTCTGAAATACTTTTGGCATATTCTATAGTTCAAAAAATAAGTAAATTTACTGAAGGTAATGGGAGCTGGGTTCCTCACTGTCTAAAGGAGTTACAAATATAGAAAGAGGAGAGATGAGAATGAATCTGTGGTATTGTATTAGTATTGGAGAAATGAGCCTGCAGTTATTGACCAGGGATCATCAGACTTTTCTGTAAAGGGCCAAATAACGAATACTTAACTCTGTCATTGTAATACAGAAACATCCATAGACAATACATAACAAGTGAACATGGCTTTATTCCAATAAAACTTTATATATAGACACATTTGAATTTTATATAATTATCATCTGTCATGAAACATTATTATTTTATTTTTTCAACCACTTAAAAATGTAAAAATAATTTTCATTTTGCAGGCTGTGCAAAAGCAGGCAGTGAGCCAGACTTTGCCCACAAGCCAGAGTTTGCCAATCCCACTTGGTAGAGAAATGATGATAGATAACAAATGTGATCAAGTGTTTCAGTTAGGGAATCTGGATGAAGGATATGTAGGAGTGCTTGTACTCTTCTTGCAAAGAAGTACTCTTTGTACTTTTCTTACAGAAAAGCTGTAAGTCTGAAATTATTTTAAAACAACCAAAAAAAGTCACAAAAGGAAGAACGCTGCACTTTTCATAGCTACTGCAGAGAAGGAAAAACAGTAATCAAGTCATTGGCCTAAGAGGTGAATGTCTTGCCTTTCATAACAGTCATACAGCCCCCACGTCTATTTTCCCCTTGTCCATTGACCATGAGTAGGAGCTACTCCTGCCTGTGTTCAGAGTTTCTGATTGGTCACTGGGGATGTCATCCTATGATCACATTATGCTCTCTGTTGTTGGTGCTCCTTGTTGCTCTCCAATACTCTTACTGAGTAATGAGGTCACCAGGGCTGGTAATTTGTATGTGATCTTGTAATTTTCTATAATGTGGGAACTTGGGGTCTAGACTAATGAAATGGACTAAATGAAAAGTACTTATCAGAAAATTTCCCATTAGCTTGGAAGTCTGCGACAATTCCTTTCTGGTGTTCTTAATGTATTATTATGAAATCCACTTATACAGCACGTTCACCTGGCTTATTTCACTAGTCATAATCTAGTGAGAACTAAGGTGAGGAGGAGCTGACAGTGTCTTAAAATATCAAAATGATACTTTAAATGATATTTTATGTTGAGATACTTATTTTTTTTGCAGGAAGAGTGAATTACTTTCGTGGAAGATCTTGACTATAGAGACTTGTAACCAGGCTACCATCCTTGACTGGTTTAATTCCAACAAAATCCAATTCCTCCTACCTTGGTTTATCATTGTAGGGAAAGCCACACAATGATTTTCACCAATAATGAAGACGATGGTGGTCCTAGCTGAAATTTATTGAATGTGACTAGCCAGATCCATGCTAAATGTTGTTCATCCTTTTATTTTTTTTTTTCATTTAATTCTAACAACCAAACTCTGAGGTACAGTCCTTATCTCCTCTTTGTGGAAGAGGTGTATGATGTAAGTGGCATGGCCAAGCTCTTGCATGGGGAAACATGGAGCCAGGATTGACCTGGAGAGCCAGTACTCTTACTTCCTGCTGGGACTGTCTCCCATCATAGATAAAGACAGTAATAAACACAGAAATTTAGAAAGAAGCTGTTTAGTCATGAGGACATACTCCTGTTGAGAAGAATAAGGCAAACAAAACAGGTCCTGATATCAATGCAAGCAAGCGAGTTTCCGTTGGGACAGCCTGCACTTTCCCTCCTGCTCCCTCCCCTGAAGAAACTCACTAATGAGTCTAGAGTTGAGAAAGGCTGGAAGTAGAGCACACAGTCACTCATGCCCTCTGCATGTCACCCTCTTGTGTCACACCCATGCAGGTACCTCCTAGAGGGACTGGGAAGACCTGAAAAGAATAGAGGAGGAAGGAGAGTAAAGAACTTGGGAAATTAGGTTGGCAGTTGGAGGCAAAGGAGCAGGGAATGTAGGAGTGGTTTTGCCCCCATTCTTAACGGGAGAACAGAAGGAATAGTCACTCGGGGGCCTGGCTCCCCTCACTCTTCTTTCTTTTGCCTTCTGCTGCTCTAGCCCTGAGTGCTGACCCCTCCATTGAGGCTGGTCCCTTACTGCTCCAAGACCAACTTTTGTTTTGGATCACATTTGGAATGTTGTCACAGAGGTGACATGTGACTTTGCCAGGCTTCCTTACCCAAAAAATCCTAAGGAACGTTGTCTCTGCTGCATTTCTTCTGAGTTACCAAAATAACTCTCTTATATGAGAGGAACAGTATACAGTTTAATAGTCACAATAATAAACTTCCAAGAGGAGGGATGCCTGGGTGGCTCAGTGGTTGAGTGTCTGACTTCAGTTCAGGGCATGATCCCGGGGTTCTGGCCTCAAGTCCCACATTGGGCTCCTTGCAGAGAGCCTACTTTTCCCCCTGCCTATGTCTCTGCCTCTCTCTCTCTCTGTGTGTCTCATGAATACACAAAATCTTTAAAAAAATAAATAAACTTCCAAAAGAAATAGTTGTCTTTAATCTAGATGTATTTGTGGGACAACTAGTTCAATGATTAGCATTATATTAATCCATTTATAGAACTTATTATTAACTCTGGACATTCTGTCTTTCTGAAATATGAAGGAGAGGGAAAAAATGTTTCTTTGTAAAAGCCCCAGGAAATTATAAATCCAAGGGAGAGGTAAAATTTACATATGAAATTGCACACCTGTTTATTTCCTTTCTTCTTTCCTTTTTAGGGACTGGTTAAATATGTTGAGCCCACCGATTGTTCCTTCCAGTCGACAGCCAACGGACCAGCATCCGGATTCTTCTGGAAGCTTGAGTGCTCAAGGTGGGAAATGGAAAATGTTATACACAACAAAATAAAAATCATTAACTACAAATAGAGAAAATTGGTCACTTTGAGATGCCACCGTTTTTATTAAATGCTAATCATCTAGGCTCATATCCCCAAAATGAGATAAGCTGTGCCTCATTTTGTAGGCTGATAAGTCCTTTGGTATCAAAATGACCTTCATCTGGACTTTGGCTCTACCAATTTCTGCCATGTGGCCTTTATGACTTTTGGTTATTGCATTTGTAAAGCAAGATTGATAATAGATAGTGTCTGCCTGAAAGCTTTCCATGAAGATTCAGTAAGATGTACTATACACAAAGCACTTAGAATACTAGCTGTTCATATTATTATAAAGCAGACCCAATACTCCTACATCACTAGATACATGCTTTTATTAATACAGGAATACTTGTCTTTAAAGATAAGGCTGGAAAATAAATAAATAAATAAATAAAGATAAGGCTGACACCGAATTATAGCAAGTAATGTTAGCAATGGCAGAATGGGAAAGAAGCAGGAATGAAAATTTGCTGGAGGCTCCCTTTGCTAATGAGTTAGAGAAATGAACTATTAGTTTTTGGTTGTGAGCAGGGAACATGATTGTCAGAAGTGCATAGAGGAGGAAGGGAAGAGACCATTTGGTAGAAACAGAGGGAGTGGGATGGAAGGGGTAAAGGAAAGTCTAAAGTACATAATTGGAGTGACAAATAACCTCGGAGTGGGACTCCCTGAGATGGTTTTTGGAACTGGGACTTTGAAGATGGAAGTACTACATCTGAAGTTAAAAAAATAATAAAGGAACTGAAGCCAATATAAATTGCTCCAACAAAGGTGCCAGGTTTTTTTTTTTTACCCTAACTGCCCCAGGGAGAAAGTGGAACATCTCATTTTTCTCCAGGTATGGAAAATTCAGAGTGAGAGCTCATACATCCGAGTTGAAAGTTTGGGCCGCCCAAGGGATGGAGATGTCTCTGTGATTTACTATCTGAAATAGATTATGCCCCTCAAATTGGGAATCTTTTTAGAGGTATACATTCATAATTACTTATGACAGAAAAATAGAATCTTGGCTGTCAGGAGGAGACCTTGCTGTGAAAGAACAAATAATATGTTATGTTAAGTGTCCTAAATAAACCACAGGAACAGAGAGTGTGGTCCTTGAGCAAAGGCACCCAAGATATATATTAGTGATAAGTAGTTGAAAGGATGGCTTCAAGTCACCATTGCAAAGTGATGTTTTGACAGCAGGAGCTCAATTATGTTGAAGGTAAACAGAACTTCGATCAAGAGCAAATTAACAAATGAAATTCAGAAGATTGTAGAAATGTTCTGGCTGATGTTAACCAGACCTGGCTCCCCTCCTGCATGTCACCTTAGGTTTTGTATCAGCTCTCTGTTTCCCCTTTTCTGATATACTTGAGTGGTTTGTAACTAATTAATGTCATCAAAAATTAGTGTTTCCTATTTGGTTATCTTTACATGTTACTGGTTTAGTTTTAGACAACATACCAATATGCCAAGATAGTGTTCTTAATAAAGTGTTTGTCAAAGAAAAGTTATTGGCTTAAGTATCCGGTTTGTATCACCAGAAGCAAAAAGGAGATGTGGTTGTGGGCAGTCCAGGCCTCTTCCTGGGCTTCTATTGCACAATACCGTGAATTTAGGGCACTGAGCTAAGTTGTGACATTAACTATCACAGCAACACCATGAGGAAGGTACTGTTTGTGTGGGTGTGTAATCGTTGTCCTTTACAGCTGAGAAAACCAAGTTACAGAGTTTTTGAATGCCTTGCCCAGGGTCCCACAACTAGTCGTCAGCAGAGCTGGGATGTGAATCTAAACAGCCGAGCCCCAGATCCCAGCCACTCTTGATTTTTGAAACAAGTACCTAGATTACCTACTCCAAAAATAATACATGTAAAATCAGGAATTGAAATTTTATTTTTCTACTGAGAGTTCTTGATTTACAGAGGAAAAAAACACAAATTAAAACATTTCAAGTGCTAAGTAGCTAAGTTCTTTAAGGGAGAAAAGGAAAAAAAAAAAAAAAAAGCAGACATCTGGTCCCCTGTTTCAGCCCTGGCCTGCCTCCCCCACCCATCCATGCTCATCAGGAATGACAAGTGGTACATCTTCTCCACAGAAGTGAGGGACTCAGGTGAAGTTGCCGAGTTGACCAGCTCTGAGGGAGCAGCAGAGTTACTGAGAAACAAGATCCCTGGGTCACCCAGCTGCCTGGCCTGGGTGTTTACTTGTCACCTACCTTCTCAAAGGCCTTTCCAGTCTTATCTAAGTAGGCCAGTCTCCCTCCACCTTGCACATTATCTTCTGCCCTTTTCACAGTTTGTAATTCATGATTTGTTTGCTGGTGTCATGTCTTTCTTCCTAGCCTGTGAGTTTTTAAAAGCAGAGACTTCATCACCTTGCTCACTATTGGATCCCAAGTACCCTGTGTGATTTCTGTAGGCTATTGGGTATTCTCTAAATTTTTGTGAGGAGGAAAACCGGAAGGGAGAAAGGGGAAAAAAGAGGGAGAGAAATGTTCTCCAGCTGGTCATTTTTATACCTAATGAGTAATTCACTGAAGTCTTACTTTCAGTTTTCCTTCATTCCAATGTTTTAGTATATTAGGGATATTTCTAAAATTTGACAATGAGAATATTGAACCTAGACCTTTGCACTTTAGCAACTAAAGCAGAGATATGTCACCTTATGCAGTGGCTGTTAAACTGTATTTATTTTCACTGAAAACTTTTCTTTCAAATGAATTTCATATGAAATTCCAACATATAAAAGAGATCAAAGCAGAATTGCTCTGGCTCAAGAGGAAGTTAGGGTCTCAGAACTCTGCCCTGGGGCTCTGACGAACCAGCTGAGAACCCTGATGCAATCCCAACGTGCTCAACTTGACCTTGCTTGAGGTTGAATCCCCAGTCAGAGCCCCAGCTAGGATTAGGACCCTGCCTTCCTCCACATCTGTGTCTTTCTGCAAAACTGTTAAGGTGCTTTTGAAGGCTGGTTAACAGGGAAGGGAGATCCCCCATCTTTAGACTTCTAGAATAAAAATAATAATGACTTATATTTATTTCGTCTTCCTGTGACCCACACCTGCAAGTGCCCTTTACTTCTCATAATAGCCTCCTGAGGTGTAGATACTCTTGATATTATCCATCTTTTACACATGGACACCGGGACTTAGGGCCAGGAAGTGACGTGCTGAACCCCCACAGCTCCAGCAGAGGTGGAGAGGCCGAGATGCATCTATAGAGCTAGAGGCATGACTGCACTTGAACAGCAGGGAAAGATGGCCTGATCAATGCATAGTTCTAGAAAACTTGCCCCAGGGGCACCTGCTGGCTCAGTGGTTGCACTCATCTGCCTTTTGGATCAGAGCATGATTCCAGGGTCCTTGGATCAGGTCCTAGGATCAAGTCCTGCATAGGGCTCCCTGCAGGGCTCCCCTCTGCCTATGTCTCTACCTCTCTATGTCTCTCATGAATAAATAAGTGAAATCTTAAAAAAAATTGCCACAGGCCATACGAGAATGAGTGGCTGTGTTAACCTTAAAAACAATACAATAGAGCAAGTTATTTTACCAGCAAAAGAGGAATGGCAAGCTTGGGACACACAGGCTACAGCAAAGCATAGGCAAGCCTGGAGAACAAAGGAAAGGAATATTACTTAGTAGGGAAAAAGGAGGACATTGGGAGAGGCTGCTTTGAAGGAAAATCTGTTAGAGTCAAAGTCTAAAGCAAGAGTTCAAGGTGGCAACATTTCTCATCGCCTAGGCTGTTGCCTGTCAGGGAGAAAAACCTTCCTCCCTTCTGCTGGGGCAGTAAAGTGAACTTGTTGCTGCCCAGGCATGTGGTGTAGGCTGCAACAGGAAGCTCGTGCATGAGCACTCCCTCTTCAGGGCTTCCCGACCCCATGTCAATCGAGGTCTCCCTCTGCTAGTTTTCACACATGCATTCTACTAGCCTTTGAGTCCCCACCTTATTCAGTGGAAGTTTGTGTCCCAACCATAGTGTCTGCTAAGACATAGCACCTCAATCACATAGATGCCACCTCAAAGTAGAACAGCCCATCTTCCTGCAGAGCCAGCCCCCCGGCAGGGGCAGCGCTGCACTCTGTGCCACTTGCCTGGAGAGACACATGGGCAGCTCTCTGCACTTCCTCCTGGGCCACGGTGCACTTGCTGAATGCCAGTTGCCAGGGGCAAGGGAGCCCTTGACACATACCAAATATGTGGTCTCCTGGAGCACACTTGAAATATAAAAATGGGAAGTTATGATTTCAGAACTTACTCAAGAGAACTAACTAACTGACCTTTGAAAAATAAAGCCGACTTGGCTGGAAGAGTAGTTGTCCATTTGTTTTTGACATTTGTTCCTTTACAGATATGACCCTTCAATTATTCATGCTTACCAGGTCCAAAATGGAATAATAATGACTTCTCTCATCGGCCCTGCAAAACCTCTCATGCAGTTTACATAGATTCTGAGTAAGAAAGACATTCAGAGGTGCTTGTGGAGTTGCCAGAATTGCAGAGAAATAACATCCTTGTACCTTTTTGATGGCAAGGTCACACAGGCTATTCCTTCATGAGCACCAATTAATCTCCCACAAGACAGAAATAGGCAGCAGAGGGGATCCCTGGATGGCGCAGCGGTTTAGCGTCTGCCTTTGGCCCAGGGCATGGTCCTGGAGACCCGGGATCGAGTCCCACATCCGGCTCCCTGCATGGAGCCTGCTTCTCCCTCTGCCTGTGTCTCTGCCTCTCTCTCTGTGTGTGTCTCTCATGAATAGAATAGAATAGAATAGAATAGAATAGAATAGAATAGAATAGAAAAAAATAAAAAGAAATAGGGGGCAGATGCTGATTTTAAAGCTGTAATATCCAAATTACTAGTCGAGAAATTAGGAGAACCTCATGGCTCTTTGAAGCTAAGCAAAGGGAGGGAATCTGGCTGTGTGCTCTGGATCCACCGTTCTCCC